ATAAACTATATATTGGATGCAGTTACAAGAAAGAAGAAAAAAAAACAACAACACCCATCCCAATTTGCACTCACCCTTCCGGAAACTGGGTGAAAGAAACACGAGGGAGATTTATGTGGAACTTAAGGCAAACACAGAGCAGTAAGTGCAAGGGAAATTGCTTCGCTTTGTTACCATGGTCACCTGAAAATGCTTTCTGTTTTTCTCCAACACAAGAGAGGATGAACAGACAAGGAAGCTGTTGGAAGGGGGGGAAAAAAGTGTTTTTGATAAATGTGAATGTTATTTGATTTCATTCGAGATTACATAGATGATGCATGAAATGATCTTTATACTTTTCTTTTTGCATGTATTTTGCATTTTAAAATGTTATATGTGCATTTTATTTCAGTCATTAAATTAAAGATCACGCATAGTGTGTGTGTGATATATATTTTGAATTCCCTGCCGTAGTAACAGGACTCACATTTATTTCCTGTACAACTACCCTTTTGGAAAAATGTCAGACTAGACTTACAGAAGGAACAGTGTGGGCTAAAGAGTTAGCCGTGGCACTAGTCATAATCCACCCTTCAAAAGGCCCAGATGGAAAGGGTAAGGTTTCAGTCAAAATATTGTTTTTGGATTGAGGTGTGTACTCGCTCTCTCACTCTCGCGCTCTCTCAATCTCTCTGTGTCCTTGTCTCTCTCAATCTTTCTCTCTTGTCCTCTGCAGCTCTCTTTCAAAACCCTCCTCCTGCTGTGCTTTATCAGATCCTGTCGCATAGGGGGCCTCTTATAAAACCAACAAAGCTCATCAGGAGAGCGCTCCAGAGGACCAGTTTGGTCAACCCTTGTTAATCTACCAAGGTCCTGGTTGGGTTAGAGCCTCAGCTGTTATTTATCAAAAAAATATCAGATTTGGAGTACTGATTTAAAGTCAGCACCTCAATCCTTTTTCATTGGGAGTGATTTGCGATGAAAACTACGGTTACAGGCACCTGAGCGGGGGTCCTAAATCAGCAGTCTCACCCTGAGACGCTTGATAAACATACAGCTCGTAGGTTTGTGTCTGGGCCGGTGGGGCTGTGGGGCAGAAAGGTATGTGCTTAGTGGTGATTGTGTGCCATGGCCTCCCCTCATTCTCCGAAGCTGAACACACACAGAGCGACCTTGTGTGGAGCAGAGGGGTGGGCAGACACACTGAAGGCAGCTCACGCCATGCAGTGGACTGCTGGCAAAAGAAGATATGATCCTTTGTGTTACACACACGCACACACACACACAAACACACACACACAATTGTGTTGCCACAACTTCAGAGGACATTACATTGACTTACATTCATTTCCTGGAGACTTACCCGATCACTAAACATAGCTACTAATCCTCACCCTTACCCTCACCTAAAATTAGACAATAAAACAAGCCCTCACCCTGAAAGCAAATGATTTACATTATGGCGAATTGATTTTTGTCTCAACAAAGGCGGCAGATCTCAACAGTGTGACTTTATAAACAGGTTTAAATCCTCATAATATGGCTAGTACGAGTGGACAAACACATAAATTAAACATTATTATTCAGCAAAAAGCATTAGTTTCGCCACGGTACTCCGCATTCTTATCATTTCAAAAGGAATTTTAGAAAACTACCACACACATGCATGTACTCTTACATGATTCTTGTAGCCATCAGCTCCGAGCGAGACTGTAGGGTTGCCCCAGACTACTGTAGAGTTGTTATCCAAGCGCTCATAAATCCACCCAGAGTTACATAAACCTGTCAGTGGGTTCATTACAATAATTATTTTAATTTTCTGTTGATGATTTAATGATAAAGCAACAGGAAAAAAAAAAAAGAGAGAGAGAAAATAAAACAGAGTGAAAGCAGTTTTTTAGATGAGACGCCATGCCACGTTTCCTGTTGAGTGCTTGTCACCTTTCAGCTGACAGAACACGTTGTGTTTCACCACTGGCATAGCCCACAGTGTTGTGAGCCATAGCACAGAAACACAGCCTCACCCTCAGTGGCACACACTTAGAAACACAAGAGCACACACACACACACACACATACATATATATATACATACATTGATGAGTGAATTCCATAATTACAAGGCACTTGCATGAACACACACATCAGTAGCTACATAGGCTACACAAAGGCCATTAGCTCAAACCAGCAGAGATAGAAACTCGTGCTGCTACCTTTAAGACATTTTAGGTAGAAGCAAAATGTGTTCAGATAAAAGTAAGTTGGTTAAACTGTAATCTAAAAACAACACTACACTATTTTTTCAGAAGTTCCCCAGTGAAAGCCCTTATGTCCAATAATGAACTCAGACAACTATATAAAAATGACCGACAATAAACCATAGTTTGTGCCCACAGACTAAATAGCCGCCCACTTCTTCAAGAATTAACAGCAGAATAAAACACTGCAAAGAAAGACGACATCCACTCCACAACTACTACACACGTATTAAACTAAACCAGAGTCTGTGGAGTTTTTCGCACAGTTTGGTGCACATGCATAGCATTATGTTGCTGTTTAACACTGTGTCTGTTGACGGTGCCCTCGACAACAGTGAGTTACTAACGAGCTGTGAGTTTGTTGCAGTTGAAACAAGGATTGTCAAAAACTTCAAAAAAGTTGGTGCACGCCTCACTGAAGGTAGAAGTTCTGCGAGCATTTCAGCATTTATCCAAAGTCGCTATGCACCTGTTGAACACGCAGCATCATGGGTGAGTTTGATTTGAACTACTTAGAGAAATTTGACAGTGCCAGGCTACTGCTAATCTGAACCAATGATCCAAAATAACATCAGCCTCAGTTTTACTCAATGTTTGTGCATTTTTAAAAAAAAAACCTCTTGCCTGAGGTGCAAACGCATCCTGTTCAAACCCTCTGACATTCGGTCAGCAAAAGCAAACATTCAGAACAATGTCTGTTGAGCTGAGTGGTAACACTAACGACATGTAGTTCTGCCTTCTGCTTCTTGGCTGAAGCTGCTGACATAGCACACAGTTTATTATGACTTGTGTGACCTTTACTCTGTCATGGACGTGACTTTGAATGTAGCAAAGTGCTAAACTTGAGATAAAGCAAAAGTAAGTACAAGGAAAATTACTTTTTTAGAAATACTCATACAAGTAAATGGACATAAACAGTTTGTTACAGAAACAGGGCAAATGCAATTCATTGCATCAGTGTATGCAAACTGGGTAGTGCTTCTTTGATCAGGACAAAATGTACTCTTACAGTTTAGCAACTCTTCTGTACTTTCATGTAGCTGACAGTGCCACAGATTGCCATGCTTCCCTCTTTTTTTTCTCTCTCTTTGACCCTGCCACACTTTTAAAAGACAGCCAAGCTCAGTCCCAAACCTGTCTCTTAAAGGGGAGCCAGAGCTGAAATGCCATCTGACGGAGCCCCCGACTGTTAAACGTATTTGCAGGAAGTCTTTAGCCAGCATGCAAAAGCCAATAAACGGGCAGTCATGTCAACATGTTTGATCAAGACACTGAATCCTTCCCTGTGTCATAATTAAATGAACTCCTAATAAAAATTATTCATCCACTTTCCAGGCCCATTACCACACAAAAAGATTACTGAATTCCTGTCTGTGAGGTCACTGCGAATACCAGACAGAGCAGATCCATAATGTATAGGGGTACAGGTAGTCATGGTGACAGAAATTCCCCAAAATAAGCAGATTAGTTGATTATCTGTGCCCAGAAACATGTAAACAATACAACCGGATCAATACAAAGCATATTTCACTGTCAGGAGTGCGAACACCTATCACCCAGGGAACACCACTGTTTTATCTCCTCCCACCGTGGATCCACTCTTTTGGATGTATTCTGGGAAAATACCAATCTATATTCTCCTCATCTTTCCGTCATATCTTCAATCTCCACATTAGCGAATCGGTTGATTTGAGAGGGATGCATAAAACACTAATTTGGGTGTATCATTCTGTGTCATTATCTACATTAGATTTTGGAATCAGGTATAAGAGCGTGACTGGAAAATATTAAAACTGTGCCACCCCCACAAAACTCCCCGCTAATGTGCAAACAATCACAGAGGATATTATGATTTAAGCTTGTTGATTCTTACACTCCACTGAATATATCATTTAGAAGTAAAAATGGCTTACAGTCAGGGTGCCAGCAAGTTTTCTTTTTGGATGGAGGTGTATGATTTTTATCAGGTAGTAATGAAAAAAAAAAAAAAAGACATTTCCTGAGCATTATGGTCGGTCGGAGAAAAAAAAAACAAGACTGTAGGCGGATTTTAGTCATAGATATACTCAGCTAAATGAGCTTTTAATTACAAAATTATAGGTGTATACCACTGCACCTGGTATTTTCACATTTGACAAGATGGTATCGTTGCTGACTAATTTCTTCCAGTGGCTAATTTATTTATGATTTACAAAGATTACACTGATTCTGGTTGTGAAAGAGGCAAGAATATTTGTTACAGTGAAACTTTTTTTTATATGTTTCGTAGCGGCGATATCCCAGGTTATGAAATTAGAGGAATAATAACGTTTGAATGAACTCTCTATCAGGGATCATAGAGTTATGTCTCATTTCATCCAGTATTGCATTTCTTCTGTACAATGTTTGCAGAGAGATTTATAGAAAAGATATTGAAAGTTTGCGCAAAGTATGGATGTTTAGTTCCAGATACAACAGCTCTGTTTCCAAAGAGCACAGCTACTGAGAAGAATGTTGTCTATACAGTTTCGAGCTGTGAATGTGTAAAGGGGCGAAAAGGTGGGAGGGGGGGGGGAAGTCTTTTTTTGCCCCTGTGAAGATGGCAGCATTCTTGGGGGGGCATATATGCCAGTGCTGACAAAGGTCTGGGATATGTGTGTGTGTGTGTGTGCATCAGGGGGGTGATACTGATCCCTCAGAAGGCTAAATTTACCCAAGAGTGATGGGGGCAGGTGGACTGAGCTGGGACAGAGGGGTAGGGGTGGTGGGGGTGGTTGGAAAGAACCAGACCTGGTTTCAGTTCAGGCAGAGATCGGGGGCAAACACACAACCCAAATCGGGGGTTTCTATTCAAAGCCAGCTGGTCTGGCTTTATTACATGCAGGACATTTATTTTAAGAAGTTTGTTGGTCATTTTTTTTTTTTTTTGTTTGTTTTCTTTTTTTTGTCAACTATCTCTTTTGTTTTGTTCTCTTTTGAAACATTTTTAACAGTTTGAGCTGGGCCTCAGCTGGTGCTGCAGGGTGTAACTTCCTGGGGAAGCAGAGAAAAAGGCACGGGTGAGTTTTCACAGTACACCTATTCCCTTTCCTTTTTTCCCTCTCGTCTGAATCTCGTGCTGTCAGTGGAAAACCTGTCTCCGTCAGGATTTCAAACCGCACTCCGCACAGCGGGTCATGACATGTTTAACAGATTAAGCCATAATTTTGATATTTGAACTGCTCAATTTAAACTGCTCTGAAATTTATTTGGGAGCACTGTTGCCTAATTGTTTCATTACAGCTTTGCAGAATTTAGTGAATGATGTCTTTGTCATGTAGTCCAACACAGAAATGACTATACCAGTGTGAGCAAAGGCCAAAAGATATACTTAACTGCTGTTTACTTTGAGTTTTTCCTGCTCTTGACAAAGTAGAAAGACACCAGAGAATCTCTAACAGCGCTGAAGGAGGAGTCAGGTCCCAGCTGTTGCCAATCACCTCTCTCGAGCACTTGGGGAATCGCTGATTGAGGCTCCTGGAACCGTGTGTTTAGTTTTAAGACTGTACATTTTTATTTCTCTACGGCCAGACAAATGGTTTAAGTCACTAAAGCGAAACTTTACACCATGTTGTTTTTCTGTTTCTAATTCTTCACAGTCACTTCAGGTTACTCATCGTTTCAAGGGTAATTGCTTCGAACATCGCATTGTACAGAGCGGAATTATCAGTGAGAGAAAAGAGCGTGGCCTTAACATACTGTTTGCTTTAGAGGTGACTCATTCCTTTAAGGCAGCTACCTAAGTGGCAAATATACACTTCAGTCACAGTATGTATCATGCAGATTGATGTTAAAGTAAGACCAAACTTTTGAAACAAATGAGAAACCTTTGCCATATTAAATGAACTGAGGGGGGGGTTATTCTTAATCAAACAGGTTCACAGGAGACGTATGAAAAGGTCTCGGCTCCAGCGTCCCAAAACAACAGAATTGAATTTCATACCTAAGCAAAGGCTTTATTTTAGTTTAATAAGCGGGAAATGAAACTGTTTTTTTTTTTCCTTCAGCATTTACAGTTCATTTTATTTCCAATTTTATATTAAAGACTGTTCCCACAAAACTCTGATGATGAAATATCCAAGTAGTTTATTGTGTTCTCTCTGAGAAACGGCTAACAAAGTGACATCCAGGACATGAAAACGCTTAGATGTACTGTACCTAGAGAAGTACACCCATGTCCCTTATTTTATTCCAGGGGAGAGCTGCTGTCCTTACACTATTAACCTAAAAAACAACAGAACTTTAGAAACTTTGACCCAGTTTACAGGAACAGTTCAGCTCAACTCAGTTCTCACTTATTAAGTTTTCTGCCCCTGAATTCCATGGCTTTGATGGTCAGCGGAGTTAAGGAAACGCGCTGTTTTCTTTCTCCGTAGGGCGGCGAGCGCTCTTACGCAGTTGCCGTTCCGCCTTTGAAACTCACCTCATCCTGTGATTCCACCTTCCAACTCCGCTATTAGTTTCATTGTTGTTTTCTGTATTTTCATGTATTATGAATAGCAGGGGAATATTTGTTTACCCTCAGCAGTAATGTCTGGAATGTGAATATCAAATTTTATTCAACGTTTTGGATAGCCACACATTTCATGTCATTCCTTAAAAACAAAAGCTGAAGTTTACTCAAATGCAGATTTTCTACAGAGATTTGTGGCCACTGCTTGTTTAGTGGAATGTAATTCAAAGCAGATATGTTTTTTGAGCGTTCCACTGGTGTTTTTCTGTAAATTAACTGGAAGGTTAAGATACAGTGTAGAAGTAATTTGCTGATTTGTTGTTATTCCGTTGTGGCTACTGACAGAAAGCATGGTAGTAGTTAGTTTCCATGGTTATTTGGTGGGCCCCGCTGCTCCAGATGCTCCTGAGTTACTGAAACTCTGTTACTGTAGAAAGTGCATTTCATTTTTTAAACAAATTATAACTGAACCAAGACCAATTATACATATGGGAGCAGTTTCAATTGCGATGGCATGGAAAGCACAAGTATCTCGGTTCTGTAATGGCTTACAGTAACAGCATAGTAATTTTGCTCTTATTTTTTCTTTTCATTCTCTTCTACCCTTTTTATTATTTAATTTTGGAAGATTTCCAGCAGTGGTCCGTCCTCCTGTATGAAAACTCTCTTTCCTTCTACCCCCCCGAGCACTGTCGAGGCCAGAAAACAGTATGACGCTCCACCGCCACGATACAACGCTTATGCACCGGGGCCGCCTAAATCTACAAAACACGAGCGCTGGCGCTAGGCAGCTCTTTTGATCTGCAGCTAATCTTAGTTGCCTGCCTCCCCTCTGATCATGTCTGAATAAGAATGAGTCGGGGGTGATCCTGGAGGCACAAAGAGCTTTAGACGCTGCCGCTTGTCTGCCAAGCTCTACCATGTAACACGGGCCTGCGCCGATGGTCGCTAGGCCTCGCTATCACACATCTGAGCTGGGGAATCCTCATTTAGACACACATTATATTCCACTCCACTTGCTTTTCTTCACAGTGAGATGCTATCAGCTGCTTGTTGAGAGTGTGGGAGAAGTTGCACAGCTATGCTGAGTGATCTTTAATTGTCAAGAGAATTGGCTGAGGTCAACAGCTGCAGGAGGGACTTCTGCTGTGTAATGGTTACTATGCGAATTTGAAACAGTGAGGACTGTTAGCTGTTGTGCTACAGCTGAATGCATTGCAACCTATGGGCGAGACCCCTGTCCAGTAAAAACTTTATCAGTAAACAGTGGCCAGAAGAGTAACAAAAAAACCCCACTAAAATAGTAAAACTGTGAACCTACGTAAACCCTGATCTGAAATCAGTTCTGAGATCACAGTAGTGGCATTTTACACTGCTAGAAAACCTCCAAATAAAACAACCAAACACATTAACAGCGCCTTCCATAACAATCTATATTAGTGATTTGGTTCATCTGTCAGCAGGACATTTTTTTTTGCCAGTTTCTTTCTAAGTGTGGTCAAGTTTGAGAAATGATCATGGTCGTGGTTCAAAGGAACCAGTGTTTAGAGTGAAATAGGGGGGAAAAAACCAGCTCCCATGTCTCCCATGTGACATAACAGCACAATAACTCCATCTCTGCTCCTGTATCTACAAGAGCTCATTTGCACATGCTCTTTGTCATTTTTCTTCCTGAGGATTAGACATAAATATACAACTGTGAACCAGACTTAAACTGTACATTTGGGTCATTTAACCCCACATTTACTCTTTGACATGTTGATCGTGGAACTCGGTCAGATGTGAGATCTATTCCATTGCTGCATATTTAACACTAATCATGCTTTTTCAAACACAGCTTTTTGCACCACTTCAAGAAAGACCGGTGGGCACCCCTTGAACTGGCACTGGCATCTCCCCTTTATGGGCACAATTAGAGAAAAGGGCAGCGAGAACAATGAAATAACTGTGCCTGTGTTGGAGCACTTCATAGGGAATTACTTTCCAACCATTCAAAAGGAGGAAAAATCATTAGCGGAATGTGAGTTTCTCTTTTCCCCCCTCTCTTGAAGCAATCTATGGAAACAAAGAGAACTTTGAGCCCTTGATATACAGCTTGAAATCGTGGCAATTACACTTGCTACAGCACGGAGAAGACACAGGAGGAGGAGCGAGGGGGGAGAAAAAACAGTGCCAGGGTTGGAGTTTAAAAAAAATAAATAAAAAATGCAAAAATTAAAGTTTTTGTGTATAGAATAATAGTCAATATTTAATTTCTATTAAACAATGATTGTGCTTAAAACTTTAATCGATTCCTCTAAATGTTAATGTCTTAATGATCTCCACCATATTAAATTAATGCACTTTTTTTCTTTTTAATGCTGGTTAAACACTGTATTGGGAATACCCCCAGTTAACCCATGTGCTTAACCACTTGATTCTGTGCTGAGAAGGGTGCAGACCTCCCCTGCAGGCAGCACACTTAATTGCAGTGTCTGTGTACAGAGGGCTTTTCATATAGCAGATGGCACATTGATGGCACCTGTCATGTGTGCATTTATAAAAAAATGACATTAAAGAATTCTGATTATTAATAAAATCAGTCAATCCGCAGGTATCAAGCCTTGATAATCCAGTATGTAGACAACTCGAGGTCTTTCTTCCAAATTTTAATTGGATGTTTGTGATGCCATAACACAATTCATTAAATTCAAGAGGTGTCCTAGTCTCATGTTTGAACTAAAATATATAGAAGATGTGTTTGTAAGTTGTAAGCATCTGAACCTACAAGCGCACACACACACACACACACGTGATAGTGCAACAAAGTGAAGAAGCAACAGGTCTGATCAACAGCTCATCCTGCAGCACTGTGTGTCAGCGCAGTCACAGGACCATGGGGCTTTTCCTATGATGTAACTGGAGCATCAGGCAGAACAAAGGGAGAGCTTGTTGTTCGGTTGTGCCTCATCCATAATGCAGAAAAGGTGTACTGACAGAATACTGTTGGTTAAACACAACACATGCAAATCACCTGCACTGTCTCTTGCCTGACACTGCTTGGTAAGGGGTTCGTTTCAGTTTTGGAGTCCTTGTGACTTTGCTTTTAGTGCATTCAAGCCTGTTTTTTGTGCTGTAGAGGTGGTGAACGAGGCTGGATAGACGTTGCTGATGGTTCAAAGACAGAGAAAAACTGTGTTATTGAAATCAAAGCTCTGTGCTGTTTCACTAAAACACTGAAATGTGGCATCAAATGTTAAGTAGAATGAACTTTTAAAAATTTCATTTTGCTCAGATTTTTTTTTTTTCCTACTCGCAAAAGAGACAATTAATTAACCAAAAAACGGTAGCCCATAAAATGATGTAGGTCTGTTTAACATCAACATGTTAGTTAATGTTACACAGGCTAAAAGAATTGATAGCACTGTGATGAGTGTTGCTCAAGTCAGAGTCATCAGCAGCAACATATATTTACATCTACCGTATGTATGACTATCACAATATTTGATATTTACATAGAACTAATTTGGCAAAAGCAATTACCTCAAAGCACTAGTGTATATGATCCCAAGTTAAACACATTACTGCTTCATTGCTTTCTTTCAGAGGTACAGTTATCAAAATAATTTTTGCCTGAAAGCTGAATAGAGAAGGAAGAACTGCACCTTCATATTAAAAAATCTCACTTGCGTGTACAAATAAATACGTCCCTGTAATTATAAATTTCTTTACTTTCTTTCTCATAAAAATGAAGACATATGATTTTAATTAATTAAAATTGATTTTCCCACCTTTGCTCCCCTAATTATATTGTACAGAGCTACAATTCCTGCGACTGTAATTACTGATGATATTGCCCTCTGAGTTCCATTATAGACCTTATTAGTAGGGAGCTCCAAATCATGTATAATATAACGCTTTGGATGACTTACATAAAGACCAAACACGGAATCGACAGGGAAATGTCTCTCATCTCTCCTACAAAGTGTGAGGTGACATCTAAGGCAGGTATGTTTTGCCTGAGAACAGAACCCAGATGTTCGGGGCTGAACAAGTCCTGCATAGTGAGAGTATCATCTGAACAAAGAGTGAATATAATAAGGTGAGGTTTAAGTGTAATCCATTGTTGAAAAGAAGAAAGAAATCTAGACAGATAGATAGTTACTCTCAACTATAAAATTTTAAAGGGAAAATTTCATCTTTAATCTGAATTTTGTTCTTAATTATCAGCATGATATAGTGAGACAGGAGCCGCCCTTGAATTATCAGCATCACTCTAAGTGTACGACAGACAATCATGCAAACATCTCCATGCACATGTGCAAAAGGGAAACCTATAGATTCCCAGCTGAGCCCCTGAGTTAAATTGGCCTGCAGGTCTTTCTGTGCCTCCTGTGAAGGCTTCGGTCGTCACATCATGTAGCATCAATCACACGTCAAAACACCAATTGTCTCTCAAATTCATTAGGGAACGAATGCAGGAAGATTGACTGAAAGCGGTAAATACCAAATAAAGCTGCAAGCATCCTCAGACATATCCGGCGCACAACAAATACTCCATGTGTCTTCGTAGTGCTTCTGTAATAGCTGGCTAATTCTCAGGAGCAGTGAGGCAGAGTGCTTGACAACATCATCTACTGTGACAGGCAGATTGTGTTTTCACGTGAGCATGATCGACAACAGATTGCACTGAGCCCGAGCTGTTCCTGTTTGCCCTGGAAATGTGTTTGTGTTTATCTTTTGCTTGAGAGAGGCATTCCTTTCTTTCTCCCTCTGTTACCAAAAACACGCGCGCACACACATTTTCAGACGAGCTGTTCTGCATGCGTGTGTGTGTGTGTGTGACACATGCTGTGAAGTGACTGCCAGGAGAGGCTTAAGAAACAATCCAAGCAAGATCAATATCAGCAAACCGCACTTATGTGTTTGACTTAACATCCAGTCGCAGTTTCCCCTCTTCGACTGATGCCAAACGTCACGAAATTGCATTTACCCAAAAGCCTTAAAGTGTGTGTATACACACTGTGACATATTTGAAATTACATAATTGTTTTGGCAAACAGCAAAACTGATTTTTCTCAGGCTTTGATGAGATTGTCACCCCACATTTGAACACACTCGCAGACGCACTCCTCCGAAAACACAAGTTCAGCGTTGCATGTTCAAAGAGTAGCAGGGAGGGACAATGACAAATGGGTTGGGCTGGGAAAAAGTTGCAGACAGCAGGAAACTAATAATTTGCTTCATTCTGATTAATGAGAAAATTGTTTGTCTTAACACAAATGTCACGACCTCCAATATTTAACTGGCAACACGCTGAGCTTGTTTGCGCACACTTATTGTGTAACGAACTCTAAATTTATCAGATTTAAATAGCGTAATGTGACACACCTTGAACTGCACAATACAGAGTAATAATAATCTGGCTATAATGCTTTGAGCTGTTTCTACCCTATTTAGATTTAACCGTAGAGCCTCGCTCAGCAGTCTCAAGAGGAAAATATACAGTAGGACCTCCCTACTTTGCATTAAATGTATGAGCGTCGAATAAGGCTGTTAGTATGCCTTCACCATAGGTTTATCCCCGCAGACGAGTCAGACAGTCGTTTATGAATATGCATGAGCCAGTGTTTGCCTCGTTTAATGATTTTTCACAATTCAAATGTATTCAATCCACTTCTCCCAATTTATTTCTCTTTATTTCATATGGCCATTAAGCACACACACACACACACACACACACGAGATGCCACACAGATTTAAACATGGATCTTTCCCACCATGTCCAAGTATGTGCACATACATGCAAACCATTTCGCTAATGCCTTCACTGCTCCTCCTAGGTGCCAACCGAAGACAACCTCAAGCATTGCGAAAGGACCTCTCCAATGAACTGCTGACAGCCAACGAAGAAAGCTTCGAGAGCGAGAACGGAAGACGAAAGACGAAGGAACACTGAACGTGGTACGTACGATCACATAGGCACCTATAGCTGTCCATATGTCAGAGACAGATTTAGTGCACGTTATGAGATCTGAAAATATGAAATTCCGTCTGTTGAAGTTGCGAAATATTCGCACTCAGTGTTACATACATGCTCATTTGGATCGGTATTGATATCTGTCATGTTGCATTTATGATCCCACTGTGTCTAACAGACTACATGTTATTGATTATCGTGGAGGTCTAGGAACCGGAGGAAATGCTATTAAAGATTAAAGGGTCAGGTGATGTGAAGGTGGTATCCAGAGTCATCAGACACCAGCGGCTTCGGTTACAGGCTGTAAAGTCCGCCCGCCGAGCAGATTAGCCAGCTTGATTTATTTATTAACTGATGTCCCGCCATTTCCTACTCTGACTGACTGACTGCATACATAGCTTATGCTTCGCAGGTGAACTTCAAAGGAGGGGAAAGATTAGGGAGCCGCTCGGTGTCCACTTACACGACACTCAGTCGGTACTGCTACATGTGTAGTCGTGCAAAGCTGAGCTCACGAGGGAGGGCCTCGCCGTTTGTCTGCATTTAGACCGAAAGGAAATATTAGTCTAGAAGATTATCGCCTGTGTATAAAACCCTGACCATCCACAAATATGAAACACCGAAGTCGAGCAAAAACCTATGATTTTCTTTTCACGAGAGAGCTGCACGACGAAAACTCAAGAGTGATTAGAGCATAACAGGCGTCACTCAGGACAGCTATTAAAAAATCTTCAAACTGATACAGCAGCCCATATAATGTGAGCATAATGGAAGTCTGGTATTACATGGCCTATCTGGGAAACATCTCTGCACAGAAAAGCCACTGCACTGCCTGTCTGCGTCTTATCTGAAGTGGCAAACTTGCTGTTCTAATTGTTATCTTCACACTAATAGAGTGGATGTTTTGAAATCATTTGGTTGGATGGATAAAGGCTTGGTAATTCCCCAGTGCTTACTGTCTGTGTCAGGGCTTATCTGGAGGAAGATAGCTGGGTCCTGGAGAATGATTGGCGGCGCGCAGGAGGTGGAAAGTGTAGCAGTGTCTCGAGAAAGGCGTTTCACAGACATCCAAGGAAACTGTTGAGAATTGAAGAACGGTATTATTTGGGAGTCACAACAACATGAGCCTACTTTTTTGTTTGTAAAAAAATTATTCCCCATGACATCATGAGAGTCATAATGAATCTTTTAAAAGTAGAGTGAGATAATTGGTGCAAATTTAACAGTTTTTTTGTGGATAAGGAAACAAACTGATTCTGACTGTATTCTTTAGACACTTTTGTGGCCAAGACTGACTAAACTTTTCGCCTACTTGTCATTTGATGTGGCAGGCATGAAACAACAGGCGAAAACTGAGTGTGCCACAACAACAACAACAAAAAAACAGCAAGTTTTGGCGGCACAGATTTCGACAGTCTACAGTCGGTTGCACGCGTAAACGTCGGTTCATTAGTTAAAGTACACATCTCCACCTCCTCCTCCTCCTCCTCCTCCTCCTCCTCCCTCCACCACCATCCTCTTCCTCTAGTGGTCCTCTCTGAGCAGTTAATTGTGCGTCCACTCTATCGGGGCTGGCGCGATAATAAAAGCATTAAGAGCCATGCCTCGTTCATTAAAGTAGAGTTGGGAAATGTGAGACCGCCCCCTTTCAGGAGTCAAAAAAAAAAGGAGAGCGAGGGGGAGAAGAAAAAAATCGATTATTTCTCTTCTCGCACCGGGAGAGTAGTAGTAGTAGTAGTAGAGGGTGCTCTTTTTTTTTTCTTTTTTAAAGGGGGGGGGAAAGAACTGTGGCAAGGAAGAGGAAAAAAAGAAAAATATAAAACATCAGTATCAAGCTTGCAGACGTCCACCACCTCCACCTCCGACCACAGCAGCTCCACCGAGTCCCTCGCCGCTCACCGGCACCTCGCAGACGCGCGCAAGAGAGAGAGAGAGAGAGCGAGAGACCAGGCGCTGCGTCCTCACCGCCTCCTGAGCAGATACTGTCCGATCAGAGAGAGAGAGAGAGAGAGAGAGAGGGGGAGAGAGAGGGGGAGAGAGAGAGAGAGAGAGAGAGCAAGAGAGAGAGAGAGAGAGAGTAGTTTTCTCTGACATTATAGAGACTCCTTCCACGTACTGTAGGTTACTTTTTTTTTCTTCCTCCCGGCGCCGTCCTCTGCGAAGTTGCGCTCCTGGATTTTAAGTGCGTCTCGGCGAAACTCCGTCCACCATCAAGCAAGCCAGCTTTTTTTTTTTCCTCCTCCTCTTTCCCTCTTCTACCCCAAAAAGCTCTCACCCCCCTGTCAAAACGGCCGGGGCCAAAACAACCGGCGGAAGGCTCGTTTGTTATCTGTCGCTTCAACCACCGCCGGACAAAGATTTCACGCGAAAACAGAAAGTAAGTACTTGGCACTCGCACGACGCAACATCGCATCTCTCCTTTTTTTTTTTTTTTTTATTTTCTCAACCTTTCCACAGGGAAACTTGAGGGCTCGATTTTGATGCGCGCTAAATGTCTTCTCTCTCTCCTCTCTCTCTCTCTCTCACCAACAAAGTAGACTTAACTGCGTGTATTGATTTGTTGTGACCCCCCTCTTTTCTCTGTCGACTTATGCCGGTGACAAGTATGTCATATAATTACCGAGTGACACCAAATAGCTGTTTATGGTCCATTAAGGAGAGCGGAGATGTGGCTCGTGTTTTTAGGTGCTGCCTCGACCTTGTGCAGCTTGTCCACATGCAGGCGCACAGTCCTAAAGCTACAGTAAAAAAAAAAAAAAAAAAGAACTGAGCAGGGTGCCCTCCTTAACATAATACATTATGTCCTCTAATGGGATGGCACGTGAAAAGTTACTGCTATAAAATATATACCAGATATAGAAATTAATCCAACAAACTGACTGGAAACTTTCAAATCCACTTGAGGACAAGAGGAAAAAGATATTTTAAAGCATACATAAAGTTTGAAAGTTTCTACATTTCTGAGGATTTGTTTTCTAAAAGATACACAGGAAAGCAGCCACACGTTAGATTGCTGCTCCTTTGTGTGTAGGTCTTTAAACTGGGGTGCACTAATGATCATAATTGTGATAATATACATTAAACCCTGCTTTCATAATTATGTTAGAAAAGATTAGCTGATGTATCAATCATTTATTTAAAAAACCCTACAGTCCAGGAGGGCACAGTTTAGTAGACTTATCTGACTGTTAATCCATGCAGCAGCAGTGGAAATCAGCGTTTTTAGAGAAGCTTTGGCGTCTTCAGGCTCAACTACAATTTCTTCTCTGTGACTTTGTGACTGAGATTGACTTATCACGCTGCACTGAGTGTGATATATTTACAAGGTGAGTTTAGTTCAGTCTCGTGTTGCTCAGCTGAACCTGTTGCAGTAGGGGAGGATTAATAATGACACCGTAATTAACTTGTGGCAACTTTCACAGGTTGCAGCTTCAAATTTGAAAAAATGGGATTATTTGTTTGGTGCTCAAGACAATGCGGACACGAGGCCCGTAAAATAAAATGGCCAGATAAACTTAAGAATGGTGATAAAATTTAAAAACGACTACGGCACACTTCTTGTTAATTTAGACCGATTGTGGCTGACTGAGCTGTGGGCATTTAACTCAAGCTCATAAAAGTGTATCTCTATATTCACAGTCCCATGAATTTGTCATTAAGTTAAACAGGCATTTTAAGCAATGAAATAAATTCCATTTTTAAAGTTTTGCAAAACAGGCTTCTCGTAAAGGAATAGCTGCAGTTTATTTTTCAAATGAATAATAAAAATAAATACAGTATTCACTGAACATTTTGAGATTTATAAGAGCAATTAAATTTGAAGTGCAGATATGTGAATGAGATATTTTTCAAGGAAAAGTATTATTTTTGTGGTAAAGTGTTGCTGTCTTTTCCAGCATATCAGTGTCCCTGTGTGAAGCGCACTACATCCATGCAGTTGTTTACTGCTTTACAGCATGCTTTTTATAGTTAGGTCAATTTAAAAAAAAGAAGAAGAAAAAGAAAGAAAAAGATAATTCTCTATTCAACATGAATATAATGTTTAGGATACATTTTTCACCCTTAAGGAGGATGCAGTGTCCTGTATATTGTCCCATTACCTTTTATAGTCTTTCATGTGAATTGTTTATACGTGAAAAAATATGTGTTTTAGTCTATAAAAAGATTTTATACTTGGCCTTCCCTCTTCTGACCATCGTCAATGAAGTTGTTCTGTGTGGCCTGTCTGGCCTGTTGCTCTCTTGGGATTTAGCGATAGGTTAATCCGCTCAGAGGAAGGTGAGCACTCGCATGTGGACCCACGATTACACACAGAGGACTCTGTCAGCCAAGCTCTGTAATCTTAGAGACCCTTTACAAACACACACACACACACACACACACTCGCACGCACGCATGCATGCAGTTGTGCGCACACACACATACACACAAATGCGCAGACAAAAGCATGTTCTGTCTCCTTTCTCTTTCTGTCTCTTTCTGTTGCACACACACACACACACACACACACACACACTTTTCTTACACACATGCACGCATCGACACCCACACTATCTGGCCTGCGCTGCTTTTGTTTCTCTTATTCTCTTAAGACCTCTCCCTCTTGACAAATCATTTGGGATTTTGGGCGCTGATTCACAAAACCAACAGTGACAACACACTCTTACCCTTCTCACAGAGAGGGATTAGAAGGTCACGTGTCCCTGTGATTGGCCAGGGCATTGAGCCGATTGTCAGGGCACTTTGCTGTACACCAGGGGCTCAGTAAAGCTTTAGTTAAGTGAAGGGACACATTGTATGCCATGGTCAGGGTTTTGCCATGTGTTTTAAAAAAGCACTCCGACAAAACCAGCGTTTGACAGACTGTTGATAATATCTTTAATCATAAATGTCTAATATAATGCTCGTAAATGTGTAACATAATGCTCATAAAATTACTTTTACTGGGAGCCAGAGATAAGCATGACCGCAAAGAGAGAGTTAACCTATGATTGATGTCAAATGTGTGCAATCAAACTTGCTTCTTTGAAAAAAAAAAAGAAAAAAATAAGGGGTAAACTATATCACTGTGCTGCCTCAGAGCATAAACATTTAGTGCTGCACAAAAGGCACATTTCAAGATTCCCTCCCTATGGAAAACCAGATCTATGAAAACATTATTCCTGATGGAAACATCCAATGTATTTATGTTTAAGCAAATAGTTTAATAGGCCCTTTTGCTATGCTTTAAAGTTTTTTTTGTTTTTTTTTCTTCACTAATGGTTTCAAATATTTTGGAAGGAGTTTGCAGAGTTTGCTCAGTTAAACGTCAGTAAAACATTCATTTGCAGATTGCAGGTTGGCAAGATCTGGAGGTAGATATTGAAGAGCTGTAATTGGACTTCATGCCCTTTGGCTCAAATGAGAAGGTAATATAAGAGGCAGTTGTAGACAATTATATTTACCTCATATATATAAGGCCTCTTGTATTAGTGGGATCTAATATCTTAAAACCGTTGAGAGAAAACTCAGTACATCCTGTGTGCCACAGAATAAAGATAAAGCATGTTTTTATAAATTTATCTGACCCAATAATGTAGAAATATTAAGCCATTTGCTTAGAACAACTTTTTTTTTTTTTCGTGCCTGTTCATGAGCAGATGAAAATACTTATGTTTTATAATAACTCAAGGGCTTGTTGTATTCTTGTTTACTGCACAAGGCAGGTGTTCTCTCTTTTGCCACATGGGAGGAATTTTTTTTGTGTGTGTGTGTGTTGTTTTTATACATATTGTAGTGCCAACGAAAAGTGTAGGGCTCAACCTCACCATGTGTTTATTTACTTCTTTTGAACAGATCTCACTTTCATTGTCCCAACTGTTGTGCGTGTTAGAAATGTTTATCCAAATGTGCCTTTGTGTTTGGAGCACAGTCTCTATATCTTTATAAGAGCTGCAATTACTCATAAAAAAAAAAAAAAACTTTGAAAAAAAATAGTAATAATCTAAAGTAAATAACACAGTCCTTGAATGGTTTATGGTGGATTGGATGCATATATTTGAATATGTCCTGGTTTTTGCATAATGATGCAAAGTATTCTTCTGTCTCTATCTAGTAATTAGCAGTGACGTTCAGCAACTTTCTCTGTACGCTGTAAGTGGATGGGGGTGTGTGGGGTTTGTTCACTGGGGTGTTAAAGATCACAGAGGAATATATCAGCCTTTGATGTTTAATTGTATTGTAAAACACACTTTAGAATATTTCTGCATAAAGTAGACTTCTGGCTGTGCTGTGCTTTGTGTTTGCTGTTTCTTTGTGTGTTTGTCTGTCAGTATGTGCTGTGTGTCTGGGAGGTGCGTTCGTGTGCGTGCGCATGTTCAAGTTTTGTGTCTTGTCTCTGTGTATTTGTGCGTTGGAATGTTTGTGCTTTTGTGCTTTTTTTTTTGTTTTTTTTTTTTTCTTCGTCTGAGTTTTGTGAGGTTGTTGCTGGTGTATATTCAAATGAAAATGCGTGTTTTTCTTTTTCTCCTTTATTCTCCCACTGACGAGGGTAGGATTTGATGTCTGGGATGATGGAGCAGTCTGGAAAACAGTGTCAGTGTGAGGGCTGAAAAGGCAAACTGAGAAGACAGATGCACATGAAAACAGAGAAAGACACACACAGAGATAACGCAGGTAGAAATTCGTTTGAGCTGAGGTTAGTCGCGACAAAATATGTGACCGCTGATCAGGTATTCTTTGTTAAAAAGTGATGCTTTTCGTGATGTCATGCTTCACACACTGATCTAGATGAACAGGATGTCCTGCCTTCTTCATCCTGTTTCCTGTTTCCTGCCTGGCCTGTTGGCCATTATTACAGCAGCTGCCTGCTGGGTGGTCTGTGCTCAGCACTGCTGACCACACAATCATATCGTCAGCTGCAGCCCACCTAAAGAGACACCCAAAACACCTCACCATACTTGAGGCCCGCTCTCTGAAATATTTGGACAGCGAGGGAGAAGGCTGGAGGATTGCAAGGGAGCAGAGGACTTTGAATGATAAGACAAAGAGAAACATTTAGAGTGGAACAGAGGTTGGATTTCTTTGTCTAAACACTGGATGGTTCAGATCAGGCGGAATGCCTCAGCATCCAGACTTAAATGTTAAAATGAAAGTCAAATGAGAGTTAACATGTTAATAAATTAGTTCATTAACTTGCCCACCAGACACTCAGTTTAACTGCCTTCCTGGGAGATTTTAGATTTTTTTTTCTCAGCGTAGCAGTCTGAATCCAGTCAACCTAATGTGTTACGTGTTCAATCCATCCGTAATACCTGCTTTATATGTTGTGCCGCAAATCCAGAATTTACTGTGAATCCATTTTAGCGAGTTTCAAGAGTTAGTTTGAGGGAGAAGCCGTGTACTTAAACGCAGCGACCGAAGGCGTGCTCACTGTACCTGACCTGTAAATGGCTAGGGGCAACTTCTTACACCCCTAATATATTTTTGGAGATACTTCCCCCTCCCCGTCGCTTCACCGTCTCCCTTTGGTGTGGGCCACATTTGGAATACACCCAATGCCAACAAAAAAGAAAAAGAGGTGTAGGGGAAGGGGAGAGAGAGTGAGAAAAATGTAGAAATGTTTTCCAGTGGCAGTAATTTATCTTTGTCACAACTGCAACATAGCCGAGTCATTCTGCAAGAGAGTCTAGTGAGACGCACAGAGGTAGCTCTGTGCCTTGGCCTCACACAAGCTCACATCCATCTGAAACCCCTGCTCACTCGGCTGCCACAATCTGCGCTGCTGCCGCCACTGCTCCCCATCCACGCTGCTGCTGCTGCTGCTGCTGAGCTTCACATTGCTATCGGGTATTTTTAGCAGATCTTGTGTTCACATTGAATTCAGAGGAATAAGGACTCGAATTTTTACCCAGTCAGGCTTTTGTGTGATGTTGCTTTTGTAATGAAACAATGCAACACTAAATTTCCAATAATAGGCAGCGCGATTGATATGTCTGTCTCTTTTCTTCTGCTCTAAGGAAGAATATTACTGTCTTAAAGATGATGATTATTTTTTTTTTTACCGTCGTCTCAGATATCAGGGCAATGTCTGTAACATCAGGAGATTCACTGTACAACCCCAAGGGGACCATGCTGTTGAAAAGGCTGTTAAGTTGAGAAAAAAAAAAAAAAACTAAGAATCCATGCTTAGTGCTCTCCCTCTTCTCTAGAGCGCACAAGCTTAACCAGGCGGTGGCCTGCCAAAGTCCACACCACTGTTCCTTTCCACTGTCATCTGTGCCATTCCCACACCAAAGGCCGGCCTGTAAAATAATGTGGCGCACAGGACCGGTTTGAACGCTACTCAGATGACCGTGAACGTACGGAGAAAGCAGAACAAAGGAGACAAAGAAAAGTGAGATGCAGTTACGAAGAAATTAGAAAAATATGAATTATGTTCAAACTTTTCAGCTGAAGTTTCTCTGATATCAAACTTAATAACGCTCAATATCATAAGCAATATGAAGTGACCTGAGGGTGGAGGAGAGTGAAGCAACGCCCACCACCACACGCCTTTTCTGTCTCTCGCCGTCAATTTTTTTTTTTCTTTCTTTCTTTCTTTTTTTTTTTTTTAACATTCTTTTTCAGCCCGACTCCTTCTGCCCTGTGATGTATGGCTTTTTCCTACAGTGGCTCTTCCAAAGTGCAGCTCGTGATGTCATTAATTTTATTCATACTTTATGGATGCTCTGTCTGGAAAAAAACGAGAGAAAACGAAGAGGGACGATGTGAGAAGAGAGGGAGGAAGATAGAGGGAAAGAGAGAGGCCTAGAGAGGCATGGAGAGAGAGAGAGAAGAGAAGAGATGGTGTTGCGGAAGGAGATTTTCAGTGCAGATGCATGTATAATGAATGAGGGGGCACTTTGTTTGAAACTCCAGCCCGGCGCTTCACTTCAAGGTTTGCTGGGCAGAGTGGGGCCTTGTGATCTCACACCAGCCACTCTCTTTATCCTGCCAATAGATGCTTTCACCTGGCACTGTGGTTCGACCCAGTGGAAAAACAAATAACCTTGTGTGTGTATAAGAGAAACAGAGGGAGAAAGAGAGAGAGAGAAGGGGGGAGAGAGAGAGAGAGAGAGCAGTGACAATGGAACAAGGGATTGGGTGGAAAGGGTGAGGAGCGGGCAAGAGAGAGAGAGAGAGAGGAAAGAGGTGAGTTTGTATAACAGCACCATTGCAATGACGGCCAGACGATACTGAGGAGAATACTGGCACCTAGCCCACACTTCCTAAATAGTGCTCTCTACAGAAATAGCTCAGCCTTGATATTGACTTTTGTCTGTTTTGTGTGTGTGTGTGTGTGTGTGAATGTGCACATTTGAGCATGCTCAATAGGAGGATGGTTTCATCGTCTAGCGAAGACTTTTCCTTTGTATCCGCTGTTGGTGTGCATGGATGTTTTTCTGTTCCTCATATGTGTGTGTCGGTGTGCCCGCGCGTTAAAGCGTGTGAGTAAGGGAGTCTTTATTTGCCTTTATTATTATGGATAAAAATGGCCTCTGTCTTATTTTTGGCCCAGTGCTGGACTCAGGGTTTTATAAATAGCCGAGGAAGTGCGGGGGATACCTGTCGTGGCTCCAGCCTCCCTCCAGCAGAGTCCCAGTTCCTCCACGTCACATCCATCTACCGCCGGCCCACTCCGGGCCACGACAGAGCAGCCCCCCCGGGGGGCCGAGCAAACAGGATGGGACTCTGGATTGAGGGTGTGAGAAAATCAGTCTCTGGAGTACAGCACAAAAGAGCTCGCAGTTTAGCATGAGAAGCCTCGGCCGACGCTGTCAAATTTCGTAAGGAACGGATTAGAAACTAAAAAAAAAACCAAAAAACAAAGTTACGTTCTCTCTACAAATACGAAGGAGAGTCTAAGGCTGTTCAAGGAGTGTTAAGGTGGCAGCACAATAGAATGTCTTCAAAGTGAGAACAGTGTTTTTCAACACTTAGTCTATGAGTGTAAGGTCATAGGGTGGTTTTCGCTCCTCTCTGCCATCTGTACGCCGAGGTGTCTTGTTAATTTCATTTCGGCGTCTCAAGCATATGCCACGTGAACGAGTCTGCGAGCGCTAACTTTCTGTCGTTGCCCCACTTGCGTGCGTTGTTTCCCTCACATCTCACTTTCTGATGGGATGATTCGCCGCCAAATTTTGCGAGGGTAATAAAAAAGCGTTGGCGTCCACGGTTAGAACCGACTTATTATAGGCTGTTTATACTTTACCATCTAACAGTTACTTAATTCTGAAAGGTTTAGATTATCCGCGATCGTTTTTTACTTTCTCAGCTATGTGGGTGGATGACAGTCTGGTTGGTTAATGCTGTTATCCTTTACTGGGCATCTTACTCCTCGATCACACCATCTGATTGTTTGCTTCTGAAGCCACATTATCACCCGGAGATGCTCTTTCATCTGTAATTCTTTTAAATACGAGCGTCATCCCCGCTGCATCCTAACCGAAGATATTGTTCCTCCTTTTAAATGAGTGACACGCTGCATCTTGGCCCCTCACAAAAGGGGCCCCATAATTATGTTTTGAGTGGGACAGAAAGAAAGAGGAAAATCTTTGAAAAGCTTTACTGCCCTTGGTGGACTGTCTCTTTACATAGCGAATGAGAAATCATTTCTTTAAAAAAAAAAAAAAAGAAGTGTTCCCCCCCCTCCTCCCTTTTCTCTGTGAAGGGAATTGTGCTGCCTGTTATTAATGTGCTTTTGACAGCTTAATTTGATAAGCGGGCTACTTGTTAAAGAAACCTTGGATTGTTCTCATAGCAAGAACATGCTTTTTTTTTTTTTTTT